ATAAGAGATAGAAGTGTGTTAGTACTTAAGTAAAGATATTTTTCTTTTAGCATTAACTTCCATTTCCGTACTTGCACAATACAAAGGTGTGTGTGTAAATAGAACCTGTTCAGATAAAGGGCTTGCTCACTGCTCAAACTTTGTGCCCTGGTAGAACTTTGATTCACTAAGCTGTTATCTATATTGTGGACCTAGGGCTTTTTTTAAGCGAATATTGCCGCCTCCATTTTCAGAAAGAGATGAGAACTGCACCACTGGATACCTGTTACGGCCATAAAGGGGTTGAGAAGACACTGCAGCTTGAGAGTTAACAAATTTAAGTTTGTACATTCAGCTGTTGCCTTTGTGTCCCTTGTCCCCTTCCCCATATTCATCATCTGAAGAGGGCAGCTGAGCACCTAGCACATTTGGTTCCTGTTTCTCTTGCATTTCTCTTTCCCATTAAAGGTTTAATGTGAGGATAGGAAATCCATATTCATCATCTGAAGAGGGCAGCTGAGCACCTAGCACTTTTGGTTCCTGTTTCTCTTGCATTTCTCTTTCCCATTAAAGGTTTAATGTGAGGATAGGAAAAATTACAACTCTTCTGGTCATGTATGTGTATGTGTGTGTGCGCACATGTGCTTGTTGTTTACTGTGGACAAAATTACAGTTTTTGTGTACATGTTTCTCCCCAGACAGCTAGATTATTAGCTAGCAACCCTATATACTTACAATCTTCAAAATTTGAGCATGTAGCAAAATGCTCACCACAAAGCAGGAGATGAATAGATTACTTTTTCAAAAATGTATGAATGAGAGAACGAATTGATGAATTTTTGTCTCTGATTGAACCTGTTTGGAGGCCCTGTAGTGCCAATGGATCCTAGGAAACTGTGTTCCATATCGGCAACTCAATCTGCTATTGTTTTATTTGGGAGCTGATCTCTTTACACTGTGGGTATATAATGAAATATAAACAGAAATATTTTACTTCTATATATTTTAGGTTCCAACCATTCACCATGTGTTATGTCAGTCTTTTATTTTCTTTCTGATCCTTCCAGGATAGAACATTATTCCATCCTGTGAGCAACAGCTGCATGGATTCCAACCCCGCAGAGAAGAAGATTTTCATGGCCAGATGTGACCCTCTATCTGAAACTCAGCAGTGGATTTTCGAACACATTAATATGACCATCTTAGAAAAATTTAACCACCATGCCAGCTCATAGAAAGAAAGAAGGAAGAAAGAAAGAATGATTACCTACAGATTATAAACTAAATTTTAGCCAGCATCTGGGTCAAAGGAGTCAGGAATAACATTTCCTAGATCCAAGAAGTCTGGTTTAAAGAGTTGTAAATGCCATGTCAAAGTAGGTTGTCTTGAAGAACTTCCTGCATCCGAAGACCTTGGCTGAGAACCTCACCAGCTGCTTCTGAGAACTTGAGACTAGCAGTTCCCTTGCTGGCCAAGGGCAAAGATTATTTAGGGACTTTTCAAAAACACTGCTGAGTTTAAATCCTAGCATTTCTCAGGTCAAATCCTGCAGTAGTGAGTAGCTATGAATGGATCCTATTAATGGGTGGGAGGGGGGTAGAAGAGAGTGCATGACTGCTCTGACCACCTGAGGACACCACAGGTTTAGGACTAGCCACACATAAGGGGTGAGCTGTACTCTTTGGTGCCATTCTCTGACTAAGAATGGGTTAAGCAGGTTTAACCCTCAAAAGTGCTGCAGATGATTTTAGAGTGCTCATACCATCCTGTTTCCTTCTGTTTTATTTGTAAACAAGGGTGCGATATCTAATGTAAGACTTAAATTACATAATGAAATGGACTTCCAATGTTTCCATTCTTTCGTTTTGCATTTGCCATTTTCCTTTTAGAGCAGAAGTGACTTGTTCATAAAAGTTCATGCTCCATCAATCAGCTAAAGTTCTAACTCAGTGCCCTGGTATGAATCCAGCTAAACACAAAAACAGACTATGCTACCAAGTTACTCCAAAGAAAGACTTCACAGAAGCAGCAAAACCATGTAAGATTTAGGACAGTGATTTCCCCTCAAAAAATCTATTTTCACTTTTCTATTATTTTTAGAATCTTAAAATCTGATGTCTGTCCATCAAAATTAATATAAAAATTAGTTAATATAAAAATTATTTTAAAATAATAATTTTTATTAAGGAAGGACATGGAGTAAGGTTGATGTAATTTGTTTAGGAGATTCTTAAACCCAAATAAATCTACACTCCAAGTGACATGTGAAAATGGCTTGATTCACTTCAATTCTGTTTAATCTGTTCTGGGAAATCAGAAGTGGTTTTATTTATTTATTTGTTTGTTTGGGGGTTATTTTTGGTTGTTGTTTTTTGATTTTGTTTCTGTTCTTTTATATTGTTGCTGTTAATGATGTTGCTGTTTTATTTGGAAGCCCATAAAAGGAATCACCATTAATAAAGTGCTTCTAACACCATTTTCTGTCAATGGGGCAATGTTTCAGGGGTGGGTGAAGAAAGAAACAATTCAAAAACTAAATGGAATATTTAATTTTTAAAAGAATTTTTTTACCTTTCAATAATGATGGGCTGGAAGAAGAATATACAGGTATCAAGATGGGTTATGGAATAAAGAAACATGCTCATTACATATTTCTGAAGTTTTTACAGGTACAAAAATGTTCTTACTTTGCTTTTGTTGTTTTTCTTTTAATTTGGTTTTCCTGTTAATAAAAATTTATATATCATCTTGGATATAGAGCATCGAATTTCAGAACTGGGAAGACTCATAGAACCCAATCCCTTTGTTTTTTTCAGATGAATAGCAAAAGCCCAGAGAGCCCCAACTCCTCGCAGGGCTGATGTGTCTTCTGACCCCTGGGTGTGTGTTTTCTCTCCTGTGCTGTGTTGCTTCACTCTGTTACCCAAGGTGGTTCTGATTATTACTCTGACTAAGCTTGAAAATTTCAGTCACTTGATAAGACTATTGTGCCTCCTTGGGATGCCTACAAGTGTAGTATTCACATTCAGAAACATTAATATAGAAGGATAGTTCAAAAAGTTCATGGAAAGATTCATATTATCTTTCAATTCTATTTTTCATGAACTTTTGGAAGTACCCTCATATGAAACCTCATCTTGTCAATGTTCATGATTTTGTTCTCTCCTTGAAACCTACTCAAAATGTCCAGTTAAACTGCTCTGCTAATAGTTGGGGAAGAGTTATTTCATTATCTTTACTGATTTGTCAAGCATTCTTTCGAAGAGCTATTCTTTTTAAACTGTCACAGAGATATTTTGTATAGGTCAAGAGATCTTGAAGCATTCAAGATGAATAGTGGAGAAAATCAATAGTGAGGAATTAACCTGTGTGTTGAACAATTCTAGAGAGTGAGCGAAGATTTATCTCAAGTGTTCAGAGAGCAATCTGATTGTAGAATCAGATGAGCCTATAAAAATTCACTTTATGCCACTTATCAATTGACTGCTATTTACAATTCTACCAAAGAGACAGCCCTGGGTTCTGCACCCCAGAAAGTCCAGATTTGCAATGATCTCTTAGGATGCTATCATCACGGGAAGCTAGCCATAATGTGTTTGGCACTAGCCTTTGAAAAAGCCGGAATATTGCATCATTTTAGTGTGGCATACAGGGATCAACCAAGATTAGTCTCCTGAATTCTGAGTAAAAGAATTTAATATAAGAAATTAAATTTTTTTTAATTTAAAGGAAGCTTGAGATATTAAAGCCAAAATTAAAACTTCAAACTGTCAAGCAATTATTAAATGATTGCAAATGGGGAACAAATAAAATAAAATGAAGCCTAGAGAATCTACTCCAGAGCAGAAGGGCAAAAAGCTGCCAATAAGCACACTTAAGGAGGCATTTCCAGTAGCACTGAAGGCTGAGACTTAACTTACTTGAAATTCTGCTATTACCATTCTCGGTTTTTTGTTTGTTTTGTTTTTGTTTTGCAGTTGGCCAGTACCAGGTACTGAACCCTTCACCTTGGTGTTACAAGGCTGCACTCTAACCAACTGAGCTAACAGGCAAGCCCAATTACCATTCTGAAAAGTATAAAATTACATATGTTTATATTTTTATTTGGCAAAGGCGACAGAACAGTCCTCAGAAAGATTCTCATTCCTGGAAATAATATGATTTGAAAATTGGACAGTAAAGTACTGACCTACTCTTTTACCAGAATGGAAGGAAAAATATAGAGTTAATCTGACCTCAGAAATTGCTATTTCTCCATAATAAGAAATGGTTTTTCCAGAAGTTAGAAAACAACTAATTTTTAAATCCTTCTCACATATTTACAGAGAAAAGGCTGTGCTGTAAAACAATTGTGAACTAATTGTGGGATTTACACTTTATCATGTCAATAACAATGTACTGGCTTCTATGTCTAATGCGATTTAGTTAAAAATATTAATATGATCACATGTCTGTTTTAAAATGTATTCATTATATCAGAAGCCTCAGTGAATAATGCAAGTTCCAAAATTATTTTGTGAATTGATTACATAGAACTTTATACAATAAATGAATAACACATCGTGAAAATGAATCTACAGTCAATGAAAGAGGGTGTTAGGCTCTTTCTTTTTACGTTTCTTGCAAAACATGAAGCCAATGCCAACACTTGACACCATTGCCTCTGGGGACTATTATATGTTTTAAAAGAAGATAACAGGGCCGAGCCCGTGGCGCACTCGGGAGAGTGCGGCGCTGGGAGTGCAGCAGCGTTCCCGCCGTGGGTTCGGATCCTATATAGGGATAACCGGTGCGCTCACAGCGCTCACTGGCTGAGCGCGGTGCGGCCGGTCTCAAAAAGGACAAAAAAAAAAAAAAGAAGAAGAAGATAACAGACAAAATATAAATAAGTAAACATCTACTTTATGCTTCTTGCTCTCACTTGAAAAGTTCCTATTTCAGTCTTTTTATGCCTATCTCCATAAGGAAATGGGAGAATGGGAATTTTTTATTGGAAAGATCAGCACTGTAAAGTTTATGGCAGCCCTATCAAAAGAGCCAACGACACTTCAGTTATAAAGCTGGCTATCCAGCAGTCATGAAGGCCACACCTGTCACTCTGTGACATTCCTGGCCCAGGACTTCACACCCCTGAGGACTTAGAAGAGAGTTCTATGCCAAATCTGCTTTTGACTTCCTGTCTTAAGTGTTACAGAATCTTTCCCAGGACTAGGCAGTTCCCGGTCCTCCCCTGGGGAATAGTGCTAGATTACATTTTTTCAGAATTTAGAACCATCCTGATAATATGACATTGTGAACATTCATATACCCCTAGGAACCTGTCTAGTGAAATCTCTTTAGGCTTCTTTCCCTGGCAGGGATATATAAGGCTACGATATGCTTACATAAGTAGATGCTGGAGATATGCTAGAAATACAATATTTTATCTAATGCATGAGAAGTAACATCTCAAAGGGAAAATATTTTTAAGTGATTTCCTGCGATTCTGGGAGTAAATATAAACGGTGAGAGGTAAATTGTGTCCCTAGACATGGGGTGTGCATAATCCTCTCCATTCACCTCATCAACAAATTCTGCCTTGCCATCATTACTCTCAGATGACATCACCAACTGTAATTACTCTCCATGTGTGGAACCGTGGCTGAGGACACTGAAGTGTGACAAGTAGCCAGTCCTTCCCACACTGCTGACATTGGAAGATTGCTCTTTGATTTATGTCTGTAGCCTTTGCTTGCAGAACCAGGAGCTGTTTGCAGCTCTATTTGGTAGACTTGACATTGGCCTGAAGCTTTTATTCAAAGTCACTCATCTCTATACTTGACATTCCAGACTGGTGTGTACGGTACTGTAGCCAACAGCTCAGGTGCGTGTTTGATACTTTACTTCAGAGAAACCTGGAAACATTTCTTTTTTTTTTTTTTTTCCTTTTTTTGTCTTTTTTCGTGTCCTGCAACGGATCGCAACCCTCAGTGTCGCGCCCGTACCGGACCGGGACCGGCAACGGAATCACAACCCTCGGTGTTGCTTTCCCCTTTTTTTGTCTTTTTTCGTGTCCTGCAACGGATCGCAACCCTCAGTGTCGCGCCCGTACCGGACCGGGACCGGCAACGGAATCACAACCCTCGGTGTTGCTTTCCCCTTTTTTTGTCTTTTTTCGTGTCCTGCAACGGATCGCAACCCTCAGTGTCGCGCCCGTACCGGACCGGGACCGGCAACGGAATCACAACCCTCGGCGTTGCTCCCATACCTCGCTCAGCCAGTGAGCAGGAACCGGTCTGTATGTGGGATCCGAACCCTCGGCGGGAGTGCCACCACGCTCCCAAGCGGTGCACTGTAGCAGTGCGCCACCGGGCCGGCCCTGGAAACATTTCTTCAGTCCCTCCTGCCTGAAGTTGCCCGGGTCAGCCCATGAACGGTAGCTTCCTGGGGTTTCCGCAGTCCTCTGCTCCCCACATCTGCTCAATCCAACACAGTGATACGACTGACTTCAGTACAGAAAGGCTGGTTACATTTCAGAATCCTATTGTCAGTGATTTTATTCTGACATTACCCACTTTGAGGGGGGTATTCATAACTAAGTAGCACAGGTCCTGCTTTTGCAGAAAAGTCTTGGTTTATGCCTGCTATCTGTATAATTGTTAATAGTGCCCCCTTTTACTTGTAAAAGTGTCCTAGTCTGGATTGCAAACTCATATATGGTTGCCCTCTTTATAATCCACCTACCTGTTTATAATTCTTCTAGGGAAAGTTAAATACTTATAGTCTACGAGAAATCAGCTAGACTTATCACTTCCTTTCAAACAGGGCCAGACTAAAACCAGTTTACTGATAACCATCTATTGCATTTACATGGTTCTTTAAAGATGCTTAATGGAAACTTTTTAATCGAGAGTTCTTATATCCACCTAAATCTTTTTGCTGAATTAATTCTAATTAATTAACTAATTTTAATATAAATGTTTGTTTCATAATTTAAAAAATTTATGTGAAATCAACTAAGTCATTTTATATTTTTCCAAGCTAAAAACAGTAGATCCCCAACATGGAGTACTAGCACATTATTAATTCTCAATATTACAGTAAAGTGTATATAGACATAGATATATACATATATACATACATATATGTATAATATAATATATTATATAAATTATATTTGCATTATTGTGTTTGTTTTTCAAAGCAATTTTATATTTATCATCTCATTCCACCTCTGTAGTAGATAATATTACTGTCCTTATGAAGGGACTGAAGGACTCAGAATCAAGGGG